TCATAGCCTACAAAGGGAGGTAAACGGGGAATTGTTGGTTAATTGCTAATTAATTAGTTAAGCCCAAAGATGTAAGTTACACAACACTTTTACAGACTTTTTGTTCATGTTTAAAATACGACCGATTCATACAACATAATGCATTTGTTTGCATTTAATGTACTGTTACCTGTAATCTGTTACCAGTAAGCAATTTGCAATCGTAAAACAAAATTATATATAAAATATATGATGATGGCCAATAAAATAACAAATGGCACAGAAAACGAGCTTGTGAGGAACAGATGTAACCTTAGGCCTACAGTACGTCCAACTGAGTGTAACGTTTAACATGTCGGTTGTTCGGCTGTCAAAAACGTCTTTCTAAAAAAGTAGTCACAAATGAACAAGGTTAACAATCGTTTGAATCGTGGTCTCTTAAATCATATTAAGAAGTTTCATCTGTTCATCTATCGTTAGTTTGAATAGAACAAACTGACAAAACTGGTGACGATTAGTTCATGCGTCGTAGAAAACAGCTCGGGCGTCGTCTGTTTAACAGGTGGAGAAACAAATTTGTGTCAAATCTCAAACGTTACATTACAATCTGCAGGCTAACAGCGGCCACCGTCTCAGAAATACAAAACTTGAAAGGTAAGTTAAATACAGTTCGGAAAACAATGACAGAACATAACTAATTCTGCTCTATTCTGCTAAAATGAACAATAATCTCCCAAAAATGATGTTACACAAGCATTCACTCACCTCATCCATGTTGAATATGCTTCTTCGCGCCAGCCCAACGGACAGCTTCCTCAAGTTCATGAGTTGTTCGTCTGAAACTCCTCCGCGGTTTAGTTAGTTCGCTGTATAGTCTGCCCGTGTCTCCTTGTTTGATGTTGCACTGCGATGTCTCATGTTTCAAACATGAGTCTAATGTCTAGATTTGCTGAATATTTTTTTTTCTTGGAAAGGTCTCTGATATTAAATTCATGTACAAATTTGACTCCTGTGCATGAATCCATGTTCAGAGATTTGGCCGGTTAGTGCCAGTAAGCTACAACTTAAAATGTTAAGTTCACTGAACTAAATTGGGCTCTTTGAATTTCAGTAACATTAAACTGACTTAAAAAATCAAGTTGAATCTAGTATAACTTATAAAAAAAAGTTGAAATTGCTTAAATTATTTTTATGAGTTAAAGTAACTTAAAAACATAAGTTGTCATGGCTTTTTCATCATATCATTTTTTACAGTGTACGTGCCTGTATTGAATATGATTACGCATGTGAGATCTGAGGTAAAAATGTAGTTTCCGCCCAGATAAACTTTTAAAAATAATGTTTTATTTTTCAAACGTTTTATTTTAACTTGTTATTTAAAATGTTTTAAATGCAATGTTAAAATGATGGTGTGCTGTACCGTTTAGTCGACTAGACCCGCACATCCCTACTCATGACCCCGCTGTTGTAGAATGAACGACCCAGTGACCCCTTGGCCGCCGTCAGCTGTCATTGCCGTGCATCTTCACCCATTCTCAACCATGTTTATGCATGACCACCATCCAAGCCACCGTTTGACCAATTGTTGGGACTATTAATTCAGCAGGGCTAGTTGAGTTTGAATGCTGCTCGGCTGGGACGTTCATGGGTGGCGATCACAGCGGAGCGGTTAAAACCTCTATCCTATTAAACGGGATTACGCTGTAAGAGTCTTACAGCATGAGTGCCTGTTGTCCAGGTGTCTCTGCCATACAGATTGCCGAATCCACAATGCATGAACCAGCCTAAACAATGTCATTAGGCTGAGAGCGGAGCAGTGCACAGCACTCCGAAGGTCTCTATACTTTTATTGACGTGTGGGTTCAGCTGTCTGTCCGGCATCCGTGTGAGTGTGAACGATCGAGGCTCTGTTTTCAAACATGCACTCAAGCGTGTAAAAGCGAACACGGCCTTGTCCATTCATTAGGATTCAGGTCAATGCAGAGACTCTAACACAGATTCATCACATTCAGACTAGGTGTTCATTTTGAAAAAAAATTTTTCTATTGTTTTAGTCATAGTTTCTCTTTTGACACACAAATTCTTTACTTTTAGTCAATATTTTATCATGTCTATTTATTAATTTTAGCCGATTTTACTAGCGTCTAAATTAAGTATAATCTAATTTAATAAAATAATTTAAACATAATTTCATTTTGCAATAATTTAAATTATTTGAAGTTAAATTTAAAAATATTAAATTTTGTTAACGCATTCTGTGAAAATATTTATAATAGAAAATATAATATATATTTTAGATAGATTTTATATATATTAGTGCTGTCAAATGATTAATCGCGATTAATCGCATCCAAAATAAAAGTTTTTCTTTACATAATATATAAGTGTGCTGTGTATATTTATTATGCATATATAAATGCACACACATGCATGTATATATTTCAGAAAAAATATGTTGTTTATATATTAATTATATTTATATATAATATAAATATAAATATATACATGTAAATATATATATATATAATATTTTTAATACTTTTTTTCTGTTTTCATATTCTGCATAATATTTCTTTAGTCATGATGCATATTTTTGTCCTGTCCTCATTATTACTGGCAAAAAATTAAAAATCTTGTTTTCTTGAGTAATGTCATTGACGTAGCATCTAAACTAAATTTGTGGCACGGTGGAAGACAGATCACAGCATCAGCTGTATCTGTGTTTCTGATGTTAGGATGTGGTAGGTCTGCTGTCATTGTGGGTGGCTCGCTGGGACGGCTGAAATGAAAGGCCCTGCTGCTCTTTGTGTACCTTCCCAGGGTTCGCTTTGTTTTCTTAACTTTTGACCCCACAGTTCCATCTGTAACCTCATGCCTCTGACTTGTCCAAGGACAATGCCAGCCTGACTTTCCTCAATAGGTCTGCGCACACAACTCCAACAACAAGACCGATGAAGAAAAGCTGCATTCCTGAGGAATACAAAATCAGTCGTCGATCAAACGCCCGGGTCCAGAAAACAAATGTAAAGCCTCTAATTCCTTGTCGTCATTAATCAGCTCTGTTTACACTGCCCTTCAGTGTCTATAGATGTATAGTATTTGCAAACTGAGTATATACCAAACATAAAAACATTAGACAATAACAGCATTAAACAATATTTTAGACATGTAGTTAATAAAAATATTTAAAAAATAAAAAATTAATGTAAAGCAGTATCTACATCTATTGTCTTTGTTACAGTTGTCTCACAATTAAGTTAAACACCTTAAACAGATGTTGCCTTTTTTCTTTGAGAGAATGTTAAAGAAATTGTAAACAGAATAATCACTTGCACAACCGTTTCATTGTTTTTGGGTGATTTTATTGACTTGCCTTCTAAATGTTATGATTACATTTCACCGGAATGACTCTGCGTTATTGCTTCCCCAGCTTAGTTACGCTGTTTTTGTTAGTTGCATGGACCGTGGCCGTCCCTGCTGTGAAGCGGCTTCCCAGCAGTCTTGGTTTATCCTTAAGTTCCTGTTTTAGATTAGCTTCAGTCTTATCAGAGCTGGCGCGGGATAACCTTGTCTGGTGTGTGTGTTTGGCAGGGAGATACTGGCAGCATGACGGCACAGCATGGTGTCACTCTCTCTCACCACAGACATTCTTAATTGTGATTGGTGCTAATGGGTCCGATGATGGAGCTGTCATTTATCTGCATGAACCCACTGCACGCTTATGTTAATTTCTGATCTAAAACATACAGTTTTGATATGCAGTTTTTTCATTTTGAAAACATATGTCACACATTAGCCATTTTAAAGGGCAGTGTTCAGCTCCAGCAGTAATGGTGCTTTGAGTATTGGCTGAACTCAAGACTGTGTTTGATGTGCAGATAAAGCACTTGGTTTTTACAAACTAAATCAACACCGAGTTGATTTGTCTTTCGCATCTCCTCATGTTTGAACAGACACATACACACAGAATTATGTCAATAGTACGCTTCTCGACGATCATTCTCGTAAACGCAGTCGGTTATGTTTTAAATGAATGTAAACAGGTGAGAAAGAAATCGGATGTGTATTATTATACTGGATCCATGCAGTCGGATTTAAAGGGACAGCAGCCTATAAATACGTGCTGCTGAATATGTCACTAATGTTAATCAAACAACAAAACGCTATAACAAAGATTAATCTAAATTTAATTCATACAGTGACCACTATGCAGTGTTATTTTACACTTAATTATTACATTTCTGTATCTGAATACAGAACTGTTTATTATACTGTTTATTATATCTATGCTTGTAAATTGTGTATTTCCTTTTTTTTAAGTTACAATGATATAAAATTAGTGTCATTAATTTATTTTTCGTATGTTCACACTGATGTTAAAATGACACTTTTTGATTTGTGACATTACTTTTTGAGTAATGCTAAAACACTGCTGGTCACTTTCAGAAGTTGTAGTGATTCTTTCTTTTCCAAGAAAAAATGTGAAACAAATTGGTTATATAATTTTCATTTTTAAATATTTTAAAATATAATTGAAATTGATTTTACTCACTTTAAGCAATATCGTATCGCATATCGAATATCACATTTTTCTTCAATATTGCACAGCCCTAGTTTCCATTCATGATTCGTAGGCAAATTGTGGGATATTGCATAAAAATGTTGCACAGAAACACCAACACCAATTTCCAGCCTTTTTTTATTTTAAATATTCTTAATTTATATATACAGCTTTTATTTTTTTTCTGTGTTGTGCTAATTTCTTTCTTTCTTTTTCTTCCTTCCTTCCTTCCTTACTCCCTCCCTCCCTCCCTTCCTTCCATCCTTCCATCATATTGCTGTACACACTGCAAACTAAACATTGCAGAGTATTTTATTTTATTCTATTTATTTATTTATTTTAGCAATATTCACCATCATGTTGCTGTAAACACTACAAACTAAAACACTGCAAAGGTATTTTATTCAATTATTTTTATTTATTTCTTTAGCAATATTTTCCATTATATTGGAATAGACACTACAAACAAAACCATTGCAGAGTATTTTACTTATTTTAGCGATATTCACCCTTGTCTTGCAATAGACACCACAGAGTAAAACATTGCAGTGCTATAAATTAAATTAATTTATTTACCAATATTCACTTTTTTTTTTTTTTTTTTTCAAATATAAAAATAAGGA